ATGTTGGACTTTAATTGACGGGACCAAATTTTCTTTTCGACTAAACAGGAGTCTCGGTAAGTCAAAATTTGACCTAAGCGGAGTTAAAATACAAAGATAAAGAAGGAAATTTGCCGGGACTTTAGAAATTCTTCGACTAACGCGGAATTTTGAGTAAAACGATTTTGACTTATTGAGAGTCAACTGTATTTAGAAAGACATAATACATGTAATATTTCAAATGAAGTATTATACATTTTCCTGTAACTATACATATTCAAATAAATCTTATCCATTTGCTCTTACCAGCATTGAATAGAAATTTAAAAATACTTTCATAATAATATTATTATTTATAATTTATTTTAAATTATAAAATTTTTAATATCAGGTATGCTACAAAAGTCATGGAAATACCGGTCAAAATATGTACGATTTTGGATGCGCTGACAAACCTGTAAGCTTTTTAGACATGTTTCTCACTTTTAAAAATGATAATTATATCCCCTAAAAATTAATATATGACTATATAGACTTTAATAAAATCAATGTGCAATAACAACATGTCAGAGAGTAAAACGATTATTGGGAACACAATCATTGTTAACTTGTATTCTAGTAAATCCTTGTTATCTATTTCTAGATTCGTTTGATAATCACATAGTATCACGTTTTATCGGATAACACTCATTTAACCTGTATATTATTTAATAGAAATGTGCAGAGAGCAGCTCACAACCACAAACTATATCGGAGCCATTTCAAGCAGAGTCCTGTTTTGAATGCTGTTCTGAAAACAATTGTAATAAACATCTGTGTGAAAAACTTTCCGGTAAACTTTTGTTACCTCTGCATGAAACAAATCTTCAAAAAAGCCCTAGAATAAACTGTGAAATCATAGTAGTTAAAACTAACTAAACCTTTAAAACTAATGCTAACAAATTAATTTTTACTCTTATCCTTTCGTTATTAAAGATATTCTTTAATAATAAATATTTAATAAATATATGATACATTAACGCTTTAACATTAAGTTGAACGTTTATAAGACTGGTATCTATTAGTATTACATTTCCTGTATTTTGTGCTGTTTTGCTGTGAATTCAATAACTGTACTTGTAATTACATTCCTTATAACTGTTTAGCGTCAAGGCAGTTCATATCGAAACCAAGTAGAACTATCTAACCTCACATATGAAATAAAATGCTTCATTCATATAAATTGATTAAACATTATATATCAAAATGCAATTTTTCTTAATATCAATAGTCGGTATAATCTGCTTTATTCAATCAGAAAAATGAATTGTTAAAAGTTCATATCCAATTGTCTCTGTATGGCTGTATTTACTTTTACTTTAACAGTCTGCAGAGACGAGTTTGTGGAGTGTGCTCTTCTTAACTCAAAAATCAGCATTTGTTCAGATATCAAAGAGGCTAAGACAATTTGTCGGAAATACTGTAATCTCTGTCATATTGGTTAGTATAAATGTGTGATTCTTAGGTAATCGTTGTATAAAGTGTGATTCGTTTTTGTTTGTGTTTTAATAACGTATAATCAAAGTCTTATAAATAAAACAATTTAAGTCAGTAGTCATCTTTGTTTTAATTAAGTTAAAGGAACCAAAGTTTAGTGTTAAAACTTGCTTAACAAATAGATGCACTAAAGATAACTACTTTTTCAGATACATGTAAAAAGCCGAACCAGGTCTTGATGTTTAAATAAAATAAAATATTTTCCCAAAAGATAATATCAATACATAACCAATATATGATTTTTATCGCAAATAAGTTGAAACTCAATTATATTTTTATATCCAGTTGACGGAAAATGGTCTAAGTGGTCGGAGTGGGCAAAATGTGACGTCACCTGTGGAAATGGATCACTCATACGTTATCGTGAATGTGACAGTCCGGCACCTAAACATGGCGGCATTGAATGCCCCGGGGACGGTATTGATAAAAAACCATGTTTTGCCATGAATTTATGTCCTGGTAACTATATATTGATTTGCAAAGAAAGTCAAGAAGTTTTTTTACGTTTTTGTTTTCAACTTTTATGTGTGTTCTTCTTTCATCACAATTCCTTTTATTCATCAAACTAAGAACAATAATGTGACGTTTATTAAAACCCGTACCACCATCATCAGATGATAATGCCAGGGGATGATGACAAACACGAAATTGTTTTTCTTCTAGTAATACCAATAATCCCAATCCTGTTTATCATTGGCATTATGCTATGTGCAAAATTAACAATGTAAAGCTGATCTCGTTTTACATAGATCCCTATGCATTGTGTGGAAATATTCATCTATGGTTAGCGTCATTTCTTATTATTTATCTTCAAAAGAGTAACATGTACCATGGAATCTAAAGTATGAATAACACATATGAAATGGCAGTATTATAATTATACTTTATGCATTAATTAAGTAAAAACTATCACCGGCATGAAAGGCCAAAATATAAATGTCTTACAATAAGAATATTTTGTTTGTATTTACTTACCTACAATAGTTTTGAAAAGAAAAAACTTTTACGAAATGTAAATCCCAACCAAATAAAGGTCGAAAACAAACGAACGATTAACACAAATTGTTATTTCATAAAATGACTGGATTTAAATTATTTACCGATGCATTACCTTGTAATTAAAAATAGTTTTGGAAGAACAAACAGTATGAATGCATTTTTAACAATTGCATGATTATATTACTATAATGTTACAGTGCACGGTGGCTGGAGTTTATGGGAAAATTGGGGGACGTGCTCGGCCACTTGTGATGTAGGAATGAGAAGCCGGAAACGGTTTTGTACCAATCCACGTCCGCAACGTTTTGGGGACCACTGTTTTGGTGATAGCATTGAAGATGAATTGTGTAACAGGGAATCTTGTGCAGGTTATTTTTTGGTCTTATCCTTCGCAGCACCAACACAGTATTTATCAAATGACGACCTTTCAGCTTAACTGTTGGAAGTGCCCTTCCGTACATTATTTCAACTACTAACAACAACTGAGTAGAACTAACGGCGTTGCATAAGCTAGCTGGATAGCTTTCTTGATATTGAACAAATCTAAACTTATGTTCGGATTCGAACCCATAATGATAGTGATTGGAAAGCAGCATCCTTAACCATTCGGCGACGGAAGCCATTCAAATTAACTATATGAGTAGTGTGTTTAAGGTTTGCTTTACTATGTCAACATTTTTAAGAAGTTTGATTAAATGTTGTTTCATTTCTTCTGTAACGATTTTGAAATGCAAAAAACATCACTGATCTTTTCAGTATGTTATTTATATTATGTTAATAGAAATGTATCAAAAAGGTCGAGACTCATATTTCAAAATTAACTGTTACAGTATCAGTAAAAAGCATATTTTTTATACACCCGAAGAAACTTCGGAACGTATTAAGGCATGGCGTGGTTTGATATTAAAGAGCAACTTTTTATCAATTTGATTGAGTTAGGTCCCTTGATTGTTTTGTTTTTTTCTGGTATTTTCGTTGTTGTTGTTGTTTTTTTTTTTCGCAGGATCACTTTTGAGGTTATTGTATTTTTATTTGACATGTTAGCATGCTATATTAAAAAAGAGGTATGATTGTCGATTCAATCAATATATGTGTTTATTGAAAAACATATGCCACTTTATGTATCACACTTTTCTCAAAAGTTTAATAACTTTTGAACGATTTCAATGATTATGCTAATAATTCCTATGTTATGTCAGCATACGGGGCAACCGCGAAATAGTTGATTTTTCCTGTAATTAATGAATTATAGTAATTAACAAATGTATGTCCCTTTATGCATGCAAACAAATAAATTTAATCTTCTATTGCAAATACTTGTCAGATGAAATATCGTAATTTATGCTACGTAAAAGTTTAATATATAACATATCGCAAACTAATTATGGATGTAAGCTCATGAGTTACATGAATTTGAAGTATCGATATTCATATAATTCTTAACGTAAACACAAAATTATGCACTTTAGTCAAGAGCAAACACAATGTGTAATTGTATATTTGTTTTTATTTTTATCTATTTTTAATGACATATTTGAAATTTGTTAATATTGAGCGTTAGGTCTTGTTGGATGTGCGGAATATCATTGTATAAGTAACACGTCATATATGTTGTCTATATTTCCAGTATATCCAATCATATGAACAAAACACCTTGGCATAAATAAAAACGATCAAATATATTAATAGAAATATATATAGATATAGTTTCAAAGTTGCTCAAAAATCATTTATTTTTTGCTGTTGCTATCAAATTTTTAAGCAGATTTGGTCCGAGAACTGAAATGTTTGTTACAATAAGATTTTTCTTATTGTTGTTTTATATGTTTAAAAGTTAATGGTGGCTGGACCGAGTGGAATCAATGGGGACAATGCCCTGTTTCATGTGGCGAATATGCACATATTCAAATATAATTAATTTTTACAGTAATTGCATTTAAAAATTCGGTTCTTAGTTAAGACTGTTACGTGTAGTAAAATCTATATAAAATATAGTAATAATAATAATATTAGGTGCAAACGTATTGTTGCAATTTCAATTTTCGAATTAACTATTATTTGTTTTTTAAAGATAATGAACGGTCTGGGACACATTGAGTATATAAGTTCATTATATTATAAGAAAAGTGCACGTGCACGCGAAAAATCAAAGCAATAGACCCTATTTTATTTGAACAATATCGGACACTCATGACTGTATTTTCCATTTGTTTTATTAAGGATAAGTAGTCGGTCACTTGTATCAAAATACTAGTGTTTTATTCAGGAAAACCATTTAAGTGACGTGACCGCCAATAATTATATTAAACAAAAATGTGCAGTATGTTTTGCTTTATTCACTACAGATTATAAAAGAAGTACATACAGCTTATTCTGAATCTTTCTTTTGAAAACAATAATTGGTGATTCTTTTAAGCTAAGTAGATAAAATATATCCAAACATTAAACATTTGGAAATAAGCATGCAGACATAAATGTTCATTTCAGATGAAGATTGTTTTGCCATTAAAAAGCATAGGGGAAAACTTCCAAGTGGAATTTACAATGTACGTCTCTGGAATACAAGTCGAGTTATACCTGTGCACTGTGACTTTGATACAGATACGGGAGGATGGACGGTTGCTCTATATTTCTTTTGTTAAAATATATCTATATATACGTATTACATTAATTTCTTTCTAAGCATAACCTTATTACATTTGTATGTTGAGACACGCAATATCTTAACAATTTGTTATTAATTTTGATACGATAAATAATAAAAGACAACACAGTTGCAGTGTAAATCAATATTGCGAACATTCAAACAAATGATTTAGAATGTTTTAAACTTCACATCATTAGTGGTACAGAATATAGTTTAGCTCGATTGCGTTGAAAGCTAACAGCTTAAAGATATACTCACGAATATGTTCCTGGCACCAATCAGTAATGAGAATTTTATGTCACGTTTCTTGCTCAAAGAAACAACATCTTTCACCAGGCAGGGATACGCGGTTACAGAGCCTTAGGTTACTTATGCGCCACACGTCCTCATTATTGTAAGCTGTCTCGTTTATACCGACATAGATACTTTCATATAATTCACCAAATTAAATGAACTTGCTTATAAATGGTGTTGAAAAGTAATTTATCAAAGCCATGACATTTTGCTTTGGATTTTTCATTTTTGCAATAATTCCTGGTACAATATAACATTCATGTATTATTCTTTCAGGTGTTTCAATATCGATTCAACGGCAGCGTTGATTTCTACAGAAACTTTAGTGATTATGAAAAAGGATTTGGTTCTTTAGACGGCGAATTTTGGTTAGGTGAGTACGTGTTGAATTTCTTGCCATACAGTTGTTTGAATTAATTTCTGATGGCTTTTTCAATAATAATTTTTATTATATTATCACCGTAGGGAACGTGTTACAGTATCGCGTTTTTCGGTTACAGTATAGAATTTTCAAGATGGAGGATTAATTGTTGGGAGGACAGGTAGGTGATTTTTATTCCGGTCCATACTGCAAGTAGTTTAGTTTCTAAAAGATGTTTTTTGTGCTTTGCTTGTAAGGAACAGAATCCGGTATCTAGTCATATATTTCTTTAGACCCTGCACCGCAGATTTATCGCTATTTTGTCTCATAAATATGCATATTTGACAGTTTGAAAATTTGAATCGAGAGACCAACACATTTTTCTGCAATTTCGACATTATTTATGCATGCCTTTAAAACGATAATCTGCAAAACGTTAGTCCTTTATGTTAGGAAACGTTTATAAAAGTAAATGACCAGTTAAACCTATTTTCCTGCTCGTTAAATGCGTTTAAAAAATAAACAATGTTACAGTATAGAGCGAGGTAATTTGTGCAGGGTTACAGCATAGACCTAGCGATTTATATCCGATTTTGTTACAGTTTATACCCAGATTTCTGTTACAGTTTAGACTTCGATATTTTCTATATACTAGTATACTTGGTAAAATGTATGAATGTTACATAGACTTTTAAATCTCTGTAAGCTTATTGGCCCGATGGCTATTCGTCCGTCTGTCGTACATATGTGTGTGCAATCTCATCCGCTCAGTAACTACTTGACTAAATGTGATGAAATTTACATGACTTTCTACCAATTAAGTTGTTCAAATGGTTTCGGTTGCAATCGGGGATACGAAAACCCAAAAACATAGATTTTGAAAAAAGGCAATGTTTAAAGACCCTTCTCATCTCGAACCAAAAGCATTCAAATCAAATTATGATCATGGCGTCATTTCGAATGCATTTTTGTTGAAGTTACGATTATTTGGTCATTATTAAATTAAAAGTCGTTTATCTTTATTTCACACATCCTGTATTGCAGTTTTCAACTTTCTGAAAAAGAAAATTAAAGAGTATAAATTAAGGTCAGACAATTACAATATTTTCTCTAGTGAGTCTGATGGAGGTACATAATAGTGGTTGAGTCGGGATAAGGCCTTCGGCTTCAAATCATCTTTCATTTACTGCTGTAGTTGAAATCCAATCATGACTTTGGATTCTTTGCTAGTGAGGAATCTATCGAGCTAATTTACGGAAGGTCTAGGTGGTTCTAGTCAGGTGCCCGGTCGTGTCTTTAATGTTTCACAAAGGGTATCTGGGGTCTTTCTTTACACTAAAGCAGAAATGTTTTCACATGACTTCAGTGTCGTTGAAACTTAAAATCCAAAAAAGCCAAACGTAACAAAATAGAGTTAAAAAAGAATCCCTAAAGAAATTCCAACACAACAAAATTGAAAATATTCATAAACCCTTTTAAATACTTACAAAATACATTATGGTAGATGGAAATTCCAACTTAAAATAAAATTAAAGGTTGTAGTATTGCTCACTTTAATACTGTTTAATCATTCTTAGGGTATTGCCTGCCTGTTAATTGTGTCTTTTGACAGGTTATCTATGGTATGCAGGCTTCATGACCTCCGATCCCCTCTCAAAATTTTATTTTGTTTAGTTTCACTCATTGTATTCTCGTATAGGGCACACGCAATTTTTAACCTGGGGGTAATATGCCGCTTTTCACAGAATGGCAATAACGTGTCACATTGAAGGTTCCGTGATAACCGCCATATGAACACATCCAGAGATGTTAAAAAATCTGAAGTGTACCAGTTCATGTTTAATGTGAATTCTGCTAAAGCCGGTGCTAGGAGGCGTGGACGGTAGCTTGCAGTTACCACTGCCGTCCATGAACAGGTTTAATCAAACTGAGACTGCAACATCTTCATGTTTTCCGTGTTAGACTTCTGTTAAGGATTATGTTTTCTCTATTTTATTACTAATAGGCATTTTTATAATGTGTAATGATATCAAGCAATAATCTTTCTTCTCTCAATACAATTCAATAAAAGTTACTGTTGTTGTCGTGAAAACAGTCCTTACTTAGGACATTACTTATTCTGCAAAAAGTCTCAATCTGAAAATTAAAGTAAGAAAAATAGCAAACTATAACTTTTCTGCTGAAGAAAAAAAGTAATACAGCCTTTCAAGAATGTATTAAATAGAAAGGTATGAGTTATTTCATAAAAATAATGGATACACGAACTTTGTTTGAAATTTGGCAAGTATCTAAACTGTAACAGAAATCTGGGTATAAACTGTAACAAAATTGGATGAAAGTCGCTAGGTCTATGCTGTAACCGTCAAATCTGCACATTTATGAGACAATATAGAGATAAATCTGCGGTGCAGGGTCTGAAGAAATATATGACTAGATACCGGATTCTGTTCCTTACAAGCAAGGCACAAAAACAGCTTTTAGAAACTAAACTACTAGTATAGTATGGACCTGAATGAAAATCACCTACCTCTCTTCCCATAAATAATCCTCCATCTTGAAAATTCTATACTGTAAACGAAAAACGCGATACTGTAACACGTTCCCTACGGTGATTATGTCAGTTTGTATATTAGTATCACATTTTTCTTAAATGAACAAATACACTCATTTATACAACATATGTTACTTTTACATGGTTTTGTCATGATCTTTGTTTTATTTTATGCTTGTTTATGTGCAGTTAATTTCCAAAAATGAAATTTACAATTACAATTGTGTTATGCCAGACTTACTTATGTTATTGTCATAAACAAATTTAACTCACAAAGAGACATAAAATCGTCATTCTAAATGTAAAGTAAACGTTATAACTATATCGTCTTTATTATAATATTGCTGTTATCAAAACGTTAAACCGGAAACCAATGTGTATCAACATGTTATTCTTAGAACAGAGGTCGCTCAGTGTTGCTGTTTACAATGATTGCGTCCGCTTGAGCGGCATCGTTGCCTATGTAAATATTACCACGACAAAGTCAACCGTCAATCGGTTCGTAATTATATTACCGTCATACATAAAAAATTAAGAATGCAAACTGTCTCAAATGAAGAATATATACATGTGTATAACTCGGTTTGTTAAAATTTAAGATTGCAAAACAGTTTTGGAGGTACGTTGTACATTTGTTTTAATGTACCAAAGATGGACAGACATTAACACTACATATTCACAAGATTAATAGATTCCAGGACAGACATTAACACTACATATACACAATATTGATAGATTGCAATCCACACCCCTCCCCTTTTATATGAAGTATGTATGAAATCGGCTTGAATTCTTACTTACGTGATATATCATTTCGGGGTTTATATGCATGTACATTTTGTTCAATTGATATATATTTATGCTTGCACTAAATCGAGCTGCCGTTTTACATTATATATATATATATATAGTTAAGAGAGTAAAGACAGTAAAGAGAGTGCTGATCATGTCTTGATATTTATTTTTTAATCAAAATGATACACATGTGAAAATAGTTTGCATGTTTAGAAAATAAAATGCATATAACCAGTTTTAATAAAACAAATATACAATAAAGAACGTGTAACAGAAATTACACTTCTATTGTAACTTTTCTTATGAGAAATAACTTGCACATCCTAAAGATATATAACATGAAATAAAACAAATATATATTCATGTAAAAATGATATAACGGATCAAGAAAAAAAGATATGATTCCGATTAAAATATTGTCATTTTAAACTTAATTCATATTCGAAAAGTGTCATATTAATAAGCATGCTTGCGTACAAATCATAAAATAACAAAATTAGCATATTAGCAATCCGAACAACATATAAGACGAACTATTGGACATTCCCTTACTTGGAAATACATATGGAGATTTACAATAAAAAATAATTTCATGTCCTCCCAATTTCTGATCTGAAGGCCACACTTGTGTGTGCTGTAAAGTTTAGAAATAGAACTGCCGCAAAAATCATTCAAATGAGTAAAAGTTATTAATGTCCCAATAAAAAAACGATTTATTAGACAAATGTGATTACGTCAGTGTATAATATCTACGAAAATGACTTTCTTTCTCGTACTTTAACAAGACCATCTAATTAAAAATACAGAGAGTCTGTTCAAAATTGCATAGAATTTGTGTTTATTCATTACGATAAATAACAAATCTTACTGATTGGCTGACTATGGAATTGAAATACATAAACATGTAACGTTTATTATGCAACCAAAAAACTTCAAACTGTATTTTACAAATGAGATTGTATTTGTTTAAAATGCATAAAAATTAGTTAAACATACAATCGTTGTTTATCGTATATCCAAATATGACACACTTGAAATGCCTATATTCATGGTGAATCAAGAAAAAAATATCGTGGCAGTTATCTTGATAATGTATAAAGAAAAATATATTTATATTAAACCCACTCTCCACGAATACAAAGGAAGCAAGTATTTTTATATCTGTTTTTATTTTAATATAATTTATTTTGACAAAAAATTTACTTTAGGTTTTTGCACATTTTTATTTGTCCGTGCGATTGAAATTATATTAAGTCAAGGAAGAACTCCGAAAGTGTTTGTTTTGTGAGAGAATTGGAAGATTGAGGAATCTCTCCTACTTAAAACATGTTTTTATTGTCCTAATAATAAACAGTGCAGATATTGAACATAACTTGCCTGAGTGGAAGGTGAATATATGTAGGTAAAAGCAGGTTTACGACCCATTCACAGTGCCAGTCGTACTTCGTCCATAGATATCTTAACATCACTATCGGTTATAAATTAATGATTTTAAAACATATTGACGTTGAAGAAAATATAAAATAAGCGTATGTATGTATTCATTATCAGTGATCTTTTCCTTTTAAATGATAATAATGATTTAATGTTCACAGTTTTTCATTATTTTATTCGTACACAAACTACACATATGCTGTTGATTTTTTTCTCTATAAAACAAGTCATTGACTCCAGATCTCAAATTCACTGGTTATTGTGAATCTATGGGAATGGTATTTCTGAAAAGACAACATTTTACAACATAATTATCTTCAATTGTTGCGCATTGTAAGATGCGATGTGATATTGTGTTTCACATTGTGCCAGGAAGACTGTTAATATCTGTATAATAAATACTTGTATATACAAGGTTTAGTATAGTATAAACATGTACTAGCTGATCATGACCATCTCTAATTGGACATATAAAATGATATATTTTATAATGTTTATATCATGCTTTTGCTGTTTTCTTTATATAATAAATTATGGCATCAGCCGCCATGTTTACGTTCATTATAAAATCAAATATGTCTGCATAGGTATTTGACGTATAAATAATTATAGTGTTTTTGTGAAAGTCTAACTGGAATTGGAAATACGGATATGTTTACTGTACTATGTAAAATTTAAAATGTGGGATACTTATTTACTAAATATAGGATAATTCCTTAATCTATTAGTATAATAACAACACAACAAAATATGAACTCCAGACATGAAACTGTTTTGAAAAAAAACTTGTTTTGTATTCCCTTAGTCACACAGGTATACATATGAGCTTGCATTTTATCAGATTTTTCCAAAAAAGAAACTTTTTAATACAGGCCTTGAAAACATATATGAAATGGTTTCCCGAGGAAAAAAACAGAGTTGAGGATGGATTTGACGGCAGCTGACGGAACATCTGCATACGAAACATTTCAGAACTTTAAACTCGGTGAAAGGCCGTTTTATACTCTTCATATCGACAAGGGAGTCGGAACTGCAGGTATTCATTGTCATCGTCGATTCCAACCAAATCTAATATGTACAAGCACACAAATATTTCTTATTACATCATTATCATTAACAAAAAAAAGCAATGCAAAGAATAGTAAACTGTGTATCGCTGGCTTACATTATTGTTTTGTTTTCAGGCGATACACTTGGTTTATCATATCACAATGGTAGAAATTTTTCAACTTTCGACATGGGCCATAAAATCTATTGCGCTATATCGGACCATGGTGGATGGTGGTATGGTGGTTGTGCTCACGCAAATTTAAACGGTGAATATGTTACTCCTGGTACAAGACGACCTTTCAATACGGAAGGTGGGATGATATACAGATCATTTAAAGGCACAGAATCACTCAAAGTCTCCAAAATGATGTTCCGGCGGGTATAAATGCATCCTGATCCGATTTCTTAAGGAAAAAACAAATAATATATTATTTTCAAACCACTTATTGTTTCTATGTAAGTGACATGTAAAACGTTATTTTAGGGCAATATTTAACAGCTGTTCCTTAAGAAAATTGTATATAAGTCTAGATACTCGATGTGCACAATGAAACAAAACATATTAAGTATGCTTCCTTGTTATATTAGAACTTGTTGTGAAACTTTTTTCCCGCTTTTTTTTCAAGCAATTTTGATTGTGCTTAGAATAGATGGATATCGGCGTATTGTATATTTGTGATATGTTTATCAGGCTTTTTAAAAAACCTGTCAAATTAGGTTGTTTAAAAAGAACGGGAAAAATCAGAAGGCCTTAAAAATTATCAATAACAACCTGCTTATAAAAGCAAACATTATTATGCTATTTAAATATATTGTCATCGTATCTAAATAATAAATTTGATGAAAATAGATCTTTTGTATAATTTGACAATATTAGCAGTTCTTTACTACTATTTATTCTTACATTAGATTTTGCATGTATACATTCACAGACGCAAAGGTTTGAATTGCACGATATGCAGTAAATAAATAAATAAATAAGTAAATAAATAAATAATCAAATCAATTACTAAATGAATAAATAAGTATATATAATAAAATATTAATAATAATAATAGTAATAATAATAATAAATAATAATAATATTAAATTTATTTTCTTTTATACAACTGCAAAAATGAAAAGAAAATCTGCCTTTCAATCTTGAATCCACGATACTTTCTTTCCAAGGTATCAATTAAGAATCCTTGTCTTAAAGTTTTCAATATTATAGATAGCTGCTAGGTCGTTTACAACAGCATAAGCTGGTATAAGTTTATTTTATCTGGGGAAAAAATTAAAGGGCATATAAGAGAGAAGTGCACTTTTATTCTTTTCTTTTTGTGTTGATTTCTATTACTAAAAATATATGAACTTGTGATAAAACAGGTATGACATAAACACTGTCTTGCGTGACACCTCGGAATGTTTCTGCCAAAAGAAATATTATAAGCAACACAATTGAAAGAAAACATTTTTACAGTGTAGCTATACGATATGCTAATCTACGTTTTTCCACTTTAAAAAAAAGATAATATCACTTTATTAAGACATCATTCTATGTATTCAAAGGATGAATTTTAATCATTTTCCCGGCTTGAAACTAGTGATTTGCATACGACCTCACTTAATTTATGACACTTGAAACACTAAGTAATGGTGTATTAACATCTTTTTCACGTTATACTAGTTGCACGGTTACGTAATTAAGCCTTGCCGATTCTAATTTGAATCACCAGTTTATATATTGAAACCTAATAATACCAAGAAGGGAATTGTGTATATATGAAACAATATATAAGGAAAGTTTTATTTTGTCATAGACAATTAACAGTTTACGTCTTATAAAATAATTTCACAAGAGCCTTATTTGTTTACTTACTTAAACGTGTTCGTCAACAATAGGTAAGAACGAGCTTTCATCTTTATTTATATATATATTAGTTAATGTATTGTTTCTGCTTCCAAAATTGGCAAATGATTGATTTACGAGAGTTAGTTTTGGCAACTGTATGTTCATGCTGCCTTATGCCATAAGTAAATGTCAGTAGCTACAGTAGTTACACACCTACTTTATTGTTTGTTGCAGGTTTATATTTTTCGGACAGACCCGTTCAAACAAAGGAAAGTCCATTATGATGTTTATCTTTTGCACGAGCACAGGTCTGATCTTGTCAGATAGACCCGTAGATGTAAAACACGTGGACATATATACCTGCTTATGCACAGACAAAGACATCATTTAAATAATAAGAAATAAAATATGAAAAAAAAATAGAATTGATTATCAACAATTTTATTTTATATAAATGAACTTAGCGACAATTTCAACAACCCTGTATTAAATCTTGAGATGAAAAAAATATAATGAACAGCATATCAAAGTTAAGATTTATTTAATCGCATCATTTTTTCAAAGTAATGATATTCTAAGCGGTTCTTCGAGCATTAATTAAGTTTACAATATGACAACTTATGAACTTTGTTAGTCCAATGGACTGATTACGACAATCATATCAAATCACAAAATGCAGAACATGCGTAACAAAGTGGATTGGTCTACAACAGGCACATTTTCCATAAGAGTTTCAATTATCGATAAAAACAATAGAAATGTAACAGTTGAATATTCTTAAAAATATTGCTTGATAAAAAAAGTTTAAAGCGATTTAGTATGAATATTTACAATATGATGAACAATAATATTTTGTTTTAGAACACATTTGTATCTGCTTAAAAGGATAATTGATTTCAAACTTGCCAACAGTATTTCTGATGTCTGATACGAAATACTATTAACAAAACTGTTTATTGTTTTACATACCTTCCATAACAGACCAATTCACTTTTCAATTTACAAATTGCATCAGACCTGTATGAAAATGGGATGTTTTATAAGTACTATTTTAAAAGATGTACAAAATGATCATTTATTGGGTTTTTACATGTAGCAAAATGCATGAAAGTAGTACTTTGAAGAATTGCTATTCAAAATGGAGTTCGCGCCGAAAATGTGTATCATCTAATATCGAATATCATTCCATTTTGGTTAAGAAATAAATGTTAAATATGCTTTAATATCTCTTTAAAGTTACAAATTAAGCTTGTTCAAATAAATCTGATGCAATCAAAATTTATAGATTTATATTAATTTTCTTGATCGGCATCTACCATTTTAAAATCTTTGAATTTTTGTTTTGTTAAAAAGATTTAAAATACATTAAAGTCGTGATTAGTGCAATCTAAACAAACACAAATATGTGAGAACTTACAAAAGAACATTTATTATTTCAAGCCATGATTCGTTTTCTGTTATCCTTTTGTGATAATATGTAAAACTTCAGCATCAGTACTTATGTAAAACTAGCGTCTTGCTAAGACGGCTTATGCAGTTCAGTCTTTGACAACGACATGCAGGAAATCAATCAAATCCTTAGCACGTGCATAAAAAGAGAAATTCGTATCATTTTATAAACAATAATTTGCGATACAAATACTTCTATGAAAAAGTGTGTACTAAACTTACATGCAAATGATATATAAATTATGTCAATTTGTGACACAACAGAAAAAATTACACATTCCTTTTAGTGAGCTCCACGTCTTGAAAAATTAAGGTTTCTTGATTTCTTATTTATGAGAAAGCAGTTTAGAGATTGTTTATGTACTAATAACAGCTGCCATGATTAGTGTTTAAGGAATGCTTTGTTTATTTCCGACACAAGTGAACTAATGTGTGATATTGTCTTGTTTGTACATATAACACATTTCGCGAAATATCCGCCGCATCGCTTTCATACGAAACATATCTAGGCGTGATTTAAAATGAGTGCATTACTATACTAGCATTACTTCTTTAAAATGTCCTTTACACGAGCTGAAGATACACCAAATAGCTCTTTGTTAACTTCTAAAATAAAAATAAATCTTTTGACAAGAAATTTACGGAAAATGTTTAGTTTTATATCACTAATTTAATTAATGCATGTTAATGTGCTGGACAATGTTGAAGACGATGTGTAAGTATATTTCATATTTTAATTATCAATTATTTTGTTCATTTTTATCTAAAGCGTCAACAATGGTGTATCTTTCTAAATGGATTTCTGTCAATGGCTAATTGAATTCTTGGAAAAAGGTTTTGAATGTACTGTACTGGAAAATATCTTGTCTCAAGGGCCACATGGTGAAACGCATCCGTAATTAATCTCTTGTTTCTATCGTATATAAGTTGGTTATGTACTTCAACTTCTTCAATGTCGTTTATTTCTTCTCAGTTTTACTACAAGTTATGTACGTTAAACTATAACAACAATATTTAAAATGACAATAATAACATCACAGATGTCGAAAAAAAAAGCACCATTAATGTTATAACACACTCAAATCACTTCCAACAAGTATAAAACTAATTCTTTATGTTCAACGTAAATATAACCTAACGAATTTTACAAATGAATATGTGACAAATTTTTCAATTCTTGGAAAACACTAAAATAAGGTTTAGTGTACCTTTTCCGCATTTTTCAGCAGTCGCCATGACAATAGATTCTATTACATTCGAAGTATTGAACAGTTACCATAGAAACTGACACATACGTTACATATCTTTATCGTATGTAATATGTCCGATCAAACCAAATTATCCGTCGACATTAAGTGCATCGCAATGGAATATTGAAATTAAATGTTATCATAAGATAATGTGCGTTCCAGTCGTCTATCTCTCATAAGAAAGGATACCATTGCTGACTCGTCATAAATTATCAATCAGGTCTGCAAGAAATTATAAACAACAAAGTATGTAAATTTTGTTTTCGAACTTCTCTGCTGATCTGTTAACATTTGTTTTTCAATCCGAGTGTTTAAATCCTTAAATTTACCATTATATGTGGTAGATGGATATTTTAGGCACAATTTCTTTTACAAATACATTTACATTTGTTAATGTGACTTTATGTATGACATATTGAAAACTTGACCATTGGGTATTGTATTCAAGGTAAAACAATATATCATTATTTTAACCATACTGGCTTTTAAGGGGCGTCCGTTGCCTAGTGGTTGACTTAAAAAACTACCCCCTCACCACTGTGGGTTCGAATCCCGGCAGGGACTTTGGATTCTTTCATGTGAGGAAGCTATCAAGCTAGCTAACGGAACGTCGGTGGTTCTACTCCGGTTCCCGTTCGAGAGAAGAAATACACACCTGTGTATGTTGATTGATTGACCAAAAACGTTAGGTGCAGTCATACATTTTTAGGCTAATAAAATAGGAAAACAATCTAAAATGTGTGTTGTTCATATCAATATCTGAGATTATTATAAAACACATTGCTATAATACTCTGACGCCGATTTCAGTAATTGACTATAATTACGAAATCATGTACACCCAAGTATCATTTTACAGTCTGGAATTATTTGTTCTGTTAGTCGTAATGGTATACAACAATTTAGTCATTATATTTGATAGAATACAAGTAACAATGTCTCATATGTTGTGGTATTAAATATACAATATAAATAAATATATTGTTATTGCATGCCGGACAACCAATTTTGATACAAAGTGGTGTATTGTACCCCCCTATGCACTAAGCAAAACAATTGAATTTTGTTCATTTTTTTCGCGTGACAAAACAGCATACATATAAAAACATAATAATGATTCCATTCAAATTATACCCATGATTTCAACGACTGATTTGTATATATAGTAGCGTATTGTTAAACTAATTGTAAAACATAGTAAATCGAACATTTGGAATATTTTTATTTTTATTATTTATTTTTTATTTTATTTCATTCATTTTTAATATTTATATTCGACGGTT